GGGTTCAATAATAACAAAAGTGATTTTACTAAGAATAAAAAGTAGGATTTAAGTGGTTCCAAGTAATAACAGACAGAACAAAATAAGTTACCAAGCAAAATAAAACAAAACACGCATATGTTTCATCTTTCTTCATATTGTTATGGTTTCTGCTATTAAAAGCTGCCCTTCATCTGGCCTTAGAATCTGTTCTTGCTTTAGATGTAAAGACTTCTAAAACCATCTTTAACAATGTTTAAGGTTCAGTGCAGACTCTGTGGAAGTCCTCTGGGACTTCTCATCGAAGTCTCAATAAAATCTGTTCAGCTTTTCAGCCTTTATCTTACTGTTCTAAATGGAACTCAAGTGATGTGTCAAAACACTCAGTAAACAGGACAAATCCAGAGTTCAGATGGCCCTATTATTTTTCCTTTCTAGCCAACCACCTGTTCTGTTGTATGGCAGAATGGGCCTCCATTAGAGATGGGATTTGCTGGTTTAGTGAACAACTGGATTAGTCAGTAAGGCTTTTAAAAAGGACCTGTGGGTCAGTTGGTTATATGGACTGCCCAGCAATCTGTGAGCTAGTGGAATATTCTTGTTTTCATAATTCCTTTCTAGCCACATCCCAGTGAAGGCTAGCACCAAAATTTGCTACCAGTATACAGCCTTTTAGAATATTGCAACTCTAGAATACCTCCAGTGCATTTTATATGTAGAAAAAAGATGGATGTGAAGGGAACATATGGGCTGAATAATTTGTTGCCATACTTGAATTGCCCCATGGGCTTAAGTTTCCTTTCTCTCCTTATTTTCCCAGCCTGAAAATCCAGATCATTGCCATGTTGATAAATTCTTGTTTATTTCTAGGGTCTTTTCCAAGTACTCTTAATGAGCCCTGAGTTGTAATTCTTCACTTCTTTATACCAGTTTACAGAAACAATTTCCAGAGAAGCCACATTGGTTACTGGAGGGAAATGAGGCCATGAATGTTGCTAATAGTCATTAGTGAAAATGTGTGCATAATAAGCTTCAAGATAATCTATGTCTTTGTGTTTTTCAGATGCTAGTATGTATGCCCATTATCTTTTCAATGCGTTTGACACTACACAGACTGGATCAGTGAAGTTTGAGGTAATTAACTTGCATCATATTTTGGTCATCTTTCTCAGACAATCTTAGTGATTTTTCATCTTCCACATCCACTCTTCACTCTGAACTATTAGTATTTTCAGGATAAATTGTTGGAGTCTTTAGACAAAAATCAACCAGGTGATGTTGCATTTTCTCTTTATCTAAGGACCTCATGTTTAATGTTATCAGCACCACAGGAAAAGTTAGTTGTCAAAGGTGGAGAAGAGAGAGGAGTGGAGAGATTTGACAGCAGAATCAGTGGGAGAGGGACAAGAGTTGGGGAGGAGGATGCAGAGTGGTAGAGGTGTCAGTGGGTAGAACAGAAGGGCCTGTGATGCTTACGACTTCTATAGTGGTTGAGGCTACTGCTGAACATACAGATGTAGGTTACAATTAGATGTATTGTCTTCTGGATTCCTTTTTTAAAAATAAGCTTACTTATATAACCAATTGAGCAGCCATCTTCAGGCCCCTGGCTGCTGAAGGAGAAAACATCCATTCATTAACCAAAAGTTGGTCTGGTGCTCCAGCTACAAAAATCTATTATTAAAATTCACCTTTTTATGTATACAAGGATTTGTGGCACATGGGCATGAAGTAATAGATCTAAGCAGGAAGGACTTAGGAGTTTGGAACAAGGTTCATTGTATGTCCCAGAATAAAGCTATACTCTTCTACCATATGACCAAGAATATTAGTATGTTCTAGAAGGGGCAGAAATGTGTTGTTCCATTTATTATGTGTGTGGTGGAAAAGGTACCACATGAGTAAAGTGGTTCTCTGTGACAATACCTGTGCAGGTGTGAGGTGGAGTATATAACACGAGCTATCAAGTTATTCATATGGCAAAAATTATACTAATATCTGAGTTATCCTCTGAGCATGTCCATTATGAATTAGATGTTTCTAGAGAACTAAATAGACTCAGACCAAACTAAATGCTTAGATAGGGAAGGTGTATCATTAACTATCTTTAATGCTTATTAGTTTGTCCCCATGACTGAGCTTTTCCTAAAGCTCAACAAATCCTAATTCCTCCCGGAGCCCTAGCAGTGAAGTTTCTTATGGGCTGTTTCTGTAATGCCAAGCCCTTTGGGGGGGTCATTGCCAGCAGGCATTGAACCTGGGATCTCTAGATCTTAAAGCATGAGCCTGTGCTGCCTGAGCTAAAAAGAAGTTTTCTGTTAGTCGAGGCTGTAGCAATCTGATCAACCTCTTTATTTGGCCCAGCGGCTACTACAGGGTGGGAGGGAGGGAGAACAGAGCCCTTATATATTTAGTGGAAGGAGGGGCTAAAGAGTTTTATGGTGACAGTATTCTCCAAACAGGAAGTAAAGATGTTTTAAGAAGTTACTTTTTTTAAAAGGCTTAAAATAACTTATTTCTTTCTTCATTGAACTAGGGTTTTGTGATGGCACTATCAACTTTGTTGAGAGGAACAGTTCATGAAAAGCTAAGATGGACATTTAATCTTTATGACATAAATAAAGATGGATATATAAACAAGGAGGTAAGGCATTTTATGGCATTGACATCTGTTTAATTTCTAAAAGGACTGACTGGCTCATGTGGCACAGCGTAATTCATGTTTCATGCTGCTAATTAAGTGCCAGTCAGCATTGGGTTTGAGCATTTCCTTTTATTAGTATTCAAGGAAAAGTGCATGGTTACTTTGTATTGTACAATTATAGAGCCTATATTTTTCCTGTGTTGTGATGTGTCTTAAAAAAAATTACTTAGCCAGGAGCAAATTCTGCATTCATAAAGGTATATATTGATTCCTATCTTAGGATAGGTATCAAATTACTGGTATGAGAGTGACTATGCTAATGCCTGTAAGTCCCTGAGCATGCCTAGTGTTAGCTAGAAATTTTCTGAAGCCTTGATATACTCAGACAAAGCTTAGTGTTTGCCCATTTTATAAAAAGCACAGTGCCTTCTCTCCCCACAAGCTTGACCCCCGAATGATTTACTAGATCTACAACAAAATATTCTCTGGAGAATGTGCATTGAACAGTGGTGCTGAATTCTTCCATCC